TATATATATATATATATATATATATATATGTATATACCACATCGGACAGTTTAAATTTCGTCAACACGATCCAACTTCGCCTATAAAAGGCGACAATTCCCCTTTTTTAGGGTTTACCTCAAACCACCGAGCCAATATTTATTTCTTTGACATTTTTCCGTGTTTATCCTTTCAAAATGAAAAACGATTCACAATTCCTTTGAATAAATTATTTTTCATACGAAAAATAGATAAGCAGTTACAAATTGGGTATGACACATTGGTAATCCCACAAATTATGGGCAGCATTTAATGCTGGCCGATTTTATAGGCAAAAAAACTTAACCAAATTGGTAAGTATTTAATGCTGACCGGATTTGACCTGCAGTTGACCTGCCATTTTTGAAAAATGGTAATTCTTATTATATAGATATAGATATTATGTATGTATGTATGTATGTATGTATGTTGTTGTACGATGGTTTTTATTGTTTATTTCATATAATGTAAAGGTTGAAATAATAAAAAAGAATCCCAAAAACTGAAACAATATATTTGCATAATTTAAGGTCATTAAGAAATCGATCTCCAAATCAGATTTGATTTTGAGAATCTGTGTTTTATTTCGAAATTCATACAAAATGGAATTCTATCCAACCAATAAATGTCATAGCAAATATTAACTCTTAATATCAGTGCATACAGAGCAAATTGTGTACATATTTTAGAAAGTTAAAATGATTCATGTTAGGTAATTTTACATTTTATGTATGTTGTTGAACAGGGGGTTTTAAATATTGTTTCATAGTATGTAAAAGTGTATTATTTTATTTTTATGAGATGTTGAATTTGAAAATTAACAGAATTATTCGTAAAAGGAATTTTAAATGTAATAGTATTTTTTGGTATACACTATTAATAAAATCTATATTTAAAGTTTATGTATCTTTTTTAACTTGAAAAAAATCTTTAATTTAAAGAATCACATATATCTTCAATCGATCTGTATCTATATACATTCTTTACAATTTTAAATTTTGAATTTGACGAGAATTCGTACCTATGAGTGCAAAATATGGTTTAACAAATTAAATTATTATTATTATTTCAGCCATACTTCTTTATAAGATTTTTTGTGAAAATACAAAAGTAAATTCTTAATTTTAAATCACTCGTACATTAAAGTGTACAGATTTTTTAAATTACAAAAGTAGTTTTTTTAATTTAAATCAAATGTAAATTTAAATAACCATAAACAAAGATAATTTGTTTTACTATTTAAAATACTAAATTAGCCGTCATTAATGCTGTTTGTTTATTTGCCATGATTTTCTCCAAACTAAATTACAACTACCATGATTTAAGGGCTCCATTTATGATGCTCGATATTTTGCCCAAAAAAAAAAACAAATAAAAATTACTAAAAGTGGTATGTAATTAATGCAAATGAATTTGACTATAGTTTGACCTGCTATTTTTGAAAAATGGTAAATCTTTATATATATATACTAGTACGAACCCCGTGCGATGCACGGGTAAGAGATGTTCATTACATTAATGTTTATAAATTAAAAATTTCAATGTTATCTGAAATTTAAATTGTGCAAAATCACATAGAACATGTTTATTTAAAATTAGTACACAACCCGACAATGAAGTGCAGCTTGAGTGGTAAGACGTTTCACCTATGATTTACAGGTCATGGGTTCGTGTAACTGAGTAGGAGAACTGAGAACACTATTGATCCTCCTTAAGATGAAAAAAAATAGAACACAACCCCTGCGGTGCATGTAATAGATAATAAAATACATTATATTAATTTCATAAGAAGTGTCATTTTAAATTTTTATTCAGAAGTTCGATTTAACTACAATGTGATTCTATAAAATAATTATTTTGGTAAAAATTTATCATATATTTAAAAATTTATATTTATATGAATAATAAGTATAATTCATCTTAGCTAACAAAATTGAAGCTTTTACCATAAAACATAACTACAAATTTTTAATTACCCATGTAAGAGACGGATGAAATCTGACTGATATAGCCATATTATCATATAACGGTTTATACTATCAAGGGTTCCAGAATTACCGAGTCGACTTAGCCAAAGCCGACTCTCTCATCATATTCCCTATAATATCTCCAATTAGGGGTCCAAATAGCCTCCGGTCGACTCCTGCATGTCGACTAGTATAAGTCGATTTCCTGCGAGGCGACGGTCAAAAGCATATCAGGATCCACTAGCGGTTGAGTATGATCCAGTCGACTCGAGTCGATTGGATCAAGTCGACTGAAGAGGTCTGGAAGCCCATAAATCTCGACAGCTCTAATACACTTCAGCATATCGAAGGGAAGCTAAGGATAAGGAAGGATCTAGAAGCTGACTAGAAAATGGACGGAATGCGAACCGACCAGGGTAGTTTGGACATTTCAAGTAAGTCGGCCGGGGCATCTTGGGGACTTCAGGTAAATGTTTCATTTCTATATAAAGGAGCTGAGGTAACTCCAAAACCCTAACTTTCATTCATTCTACATTCTTCTCCATTATTGCTGCTGCTCTCTGAGAGCGGCTCTCATCATCTCTTCCACATATTGACTTGAGCGTCGGAGGCTCTACGCCGGAAACCCCTCCGGCGTTGAGTTCTTGCAGGTGTTCTTGCGGTTCAACAACGGTTCGAAGGCCATCAAGTCAGAGCTGAGCTCATTCACACCGGTCCATCCCAGATCCGAACATTTCTCATCGGTTCGTTCCAAATCTGAGAAGAGACTCATCACTGACAAAATGCAATGGGGCGGCATGAAATCACACAGTAGTTATAAAGATTGAATCTTTAACAATAAGTTATAACTAATCCCACAAATTAAGGGAATCATTTAATGTTTTCGCATTTTAGTGAATAAAAAAATTTAAAAACTTACTCAAATTGGTAAGTATTTAATGATAACAAACTTTGACTAAGAATTTAACTTTCCATTTTTTAAAAAATGTTATTCTTTTTATATAAGTATAGATATATATATATTACTATATACTATATTATATTATTACATTACTATATACTACGTTATATATAGTATATAGTATATAATATTATATTACATTACTTTATACTATGTTATATTATATTACATTACTAGTATATAGTATATAATATACTATGTTATACTAGTGTGTATCC